GTTCTTGTTCTTGTTTATTTCCTCTTACCTCCATGGGGAAGTGGAACAGAATTCTTCCTCCGTAAGCCATGCGTGTTGTAAGAGGCGACTAAAATGCCAGGAGCAAGGGGCTAGTAACCCCCTTCTCCTGTATATATATTACTAAATGTAAAAGGAGAAACTTTCGTTTTTCCTTATGGGCCACCCCGCCTCGGTGGGATACGGCCGGTGTGTTGAAAGAAAGAAAGAAAGATTTACAATCCCTCTATTTATTCCTGTTTACCATTTACAGTGGACCCCCGGATTACGACGTCTTCAAATTAAGTAATTTTATTATTTTATTATCACACTGGCCGATTCCCACCAAGGCAGGGTGGCCCGAAAAAGAAAAACTTTCACCATCACTCACTCCATCACTGTCTTGCCAGAAGGGTGCTTTACACTACAGTTTTTAAACTGCAACATTAACACCCCTCCTTCGGATTAATAATGTTTTTGCGTCAAAATATTGGCTCGGTTAACGACACAGAACTCAGTTGAAGTCATTCATCCTGAACATGTCAGCATGCCGTGAATGACCCGGCCACTCCATGTACAGCCAGTGTGCCACTGTTTACAAGCCAGTGAGGACGATTCTATGCGTACATGCGATACATTTTGTATTATTTCATTGTTTTTAGTGCTTGTAACTGCTAAATAAGCCACCATGGGCCCAAAGAAAGCTTCTAATGCCAGCCTTTTTTAAAGAGGGTGAGAAACACTATAGAATTCAAGAAAGAGATCATCGCAAAATATGAAAGTGGAGTGCATGTCTCCGAGCTGGCCAGGTTGTATAACAAACTCCATACAACCATTGCTATTATGTTGGCCAAGATAAAGGCAATCAAGGAAGCTGTTGTTGTGAAAGGTGCAAATATGCTTACAAAACAGGGATAGCAAATACTCGATGATGTGGAGAGATTGTTGTTGGTGTGGATCAAGGAGAAACAATTAACAGGAGACAGTGTTTCGCAGTCAATTATATGTGAAAAGGCAAGGCAGTTGCATGATGATCTCGTTAAGAAAATGCCTGGAACTATTGCTCTTATTAGTGAATTTAAGGCCAGCAAAGGTTGGTTTGAGACATTTAAGAATCATAGTGGCATACACAGTGTGATAAGGCATGGTGAAGCTGCCAGTTCTGACAAAAAAGCGGCTTAAAATATGTTCGGGACTTCAAGAGGTACATAGAGGCTGAAAAATTAAAACCCCATCAAGTGTTCAATTGTGACGAAACAGACCTGTTTTGGAAGAAAATGCCAAACAGGACCTACATTACTCTGGGGGAAAAGACAGTCCCAGGACACAAGCCTATCAAAGACAGGCTAACTCTCATGTTTTGTAGTAATGCTAGTGGTGATTGCACTACTTGTGTATCACTCTGAAAATCCCAGAATGTTCAAGAAAAACAGTGTCGTCAAGACTAAATTGTGTGTGATGTGGAGGGCGAACAGTAAGGAACCTTGACTGGTTCCATGACGTGTTTGGCCCCAGTGTGAAAAAATACCTCTTGGAAAATAAATTGGAACTCAAGTGCCTCCTGGTAATGGACAATGCTCCTGCTCATCCTCCAGACTTGGAAGAGCGAATGGTGCCAGAGTTTAGCTTCATTGGAGTGAAATTCTTGCCCCCTAATACCACTCCTCTCCTCCAGCCCATGGACCAGCAGGTCATTTCAAATTTCAAAAAATTGTACACCAAAGCAGTGTTTCAAAAATGCTTTGACTTCAGACACTGAACTGACCCTAAAAGAGTTCTGGAAAGATCACTTCAATATCCTAAATTGCATAAACCTTATAGGTAAGGCTTGGGAGGGAGTGACTTGCAGGACTTTGAACTCTGCTTGGAGAAAACTGTGGCCAGAATGTGTACAAGTGAGGGATTTTGAAGGGTTTGGGGCTGACCCTGACGAGCCTATGCTAGTTGTGGAATCTACTGTGGCATTGGGGAATTCCATGGGGTTGGATGTGAGTTTGGAAGATGTGGAAAAGTTGGTGGAGGACAACAATGAAGCGCTAACCACTACAGAGCTGCAAGAGCTTGAGGTGCAACACCAACAGACCACAGCCCAGGAATTTCCTTCAGAGGAGGAGAGAGAGAGAGATGGAGGAAGGTGCCTTCTTCAAAGATTAAGGACATTTGTGCAAAGTGGACTGAAGTGCAAACATTTATGGATGAACATCACCCTGACACAGCTGTTGCAAGCTATGCTGGCAACATCTACATCTGCCTCTGGATAGATTTTTGGTGTGACAGGGGTTCAGTGATTCTCAAGCTGGTGCTAGTGGCATTAAAAAACAAAGACGGGATGTAACCCCAGAAAAGGACTTGGTACCCGAAGTCCTTACGGAAGGGGATTCCCCTTCTAAACTAGTATTCCTCCATCCTCTCCCCTCCTCCTGTCTCATCACTCATCAGTAAGTCTTTAATAAAGGTAAGTGTCATTTTAGCATTGTTTATTCTGCATGTCTCATTGTTTTCTGTGTAGGAAAATGTATATTTCATGTAAAAAAATGATTTTGTTTAATAATTTTCAGTGTCTGGAATGGATTAATTGGATTTCCATTATTTCTCATGGGGATAATTAATTCGGATTAAGTAAGAATGAGTGTGAGACATGCTCTCTGGAACGGATTAATTACATTAACCGAGGATTCACTGTATACAACTTAACCATATCCCCCCTAATTCTACGCTTTCTGATACATGGGATCAACTTTGTCATCCTACTTTGTATGTTTTCCAGTGCATTTACATCCATTCTGTAATAAGGTGACCAAAACTGTGCAGTGTAATCTAAATGAGGCCTAACCAAAGATATATAGAGTTAAAGAACAACCTGAGGACTCCTATTATTTATGCTTCTTGATATGAAGCCAAGGATTCTGTTTGCTTTATTGCAAACACTTATGTACTGTTGTTTTGGTTTTAAATTACTGCTAACCAAACTCCCAAATCCCTTTCGCAATCAGTAATATATTAAGATCTACATTATTTAGTTTATATGAGGCATGGTTATTTTCTTGTCCAATGTTTAGAACTTTGCATTTGTCTATGTTAAACTGCATCTGCCACTTCTCTGACCACAGTATCAGCCTATTCAAATCTTCCTGGAGTGCTCTAATGGCCTAGTCAGAATGAATTCGATGGCCTTTTTTGGTGTCATCAACAAACTTATGTTGCTGTTCATTCCCTCATCTGTGTTGTTCATGTAGATTGTGAACAACAAGGGGCCCAACACTGACCCCTGTGGAACACTGGCCATATCCCACCAAGGCAGGGTGGCCCCCCCCCCCCCAAAAAAAAAGCTTTCTCTTTTTAAATTTAGTAATTTGTACAGGAGAAGGAGTTGCTAGCCCCTTGCTCCCGGCATTTTAGTCGCCTCTTACAACATGCATGGCTTACGGAGGAAGAATTCTGTTCCACTTCCCCATGGAGATAAGAGGAAATAAACAAGAACTAGAAAGAAAATAAAGAAAACCCAGAGGGGGTATGTATATATATATATGCTTGTACATGTATGTGTAGTGTGACCTAAGTGTAAGTAGAAGTAGCAAGACGTACCTGAAATCTTGCATGTTTATGAGAAAGAAAAAAAACACCAGCAATTGTACCATTATGTAAAACAACTACAGGCTTCCGTTTTACACTCACCTGGCAGGGCGGTAGTACCTCCCTGGGCAGTTGCTATCTACCAACCTACTACCTAGGTAGGTTTCTGTTATACCAATAATATCTAAGCTTCCTGCACTTGCAATTAATCTTAGCTCATCTATCTTATTTCTTACACTCTTACTATTAGTATATGTAGTAAACTTTAAAGGAGCTAGTCTCTTGCTGCCCTCTGCTGTTTTCCTTTGTTTGCCAACCAGTTCCCTTGTCTATATTTGTAACTTATGATTAATAATGTCTTTTAAACATTTAATGTTTTCAATCCTAGTGCTGCAATCTGTTTCCCACACACACCCATACCTCCATCTTCTATCAATTTAAACTCCTAGACAAGTCAGCAATGGCCCTCTTGATCGAGCTGGCAAATTCTACCACCCCTGCCTAAGAGAGACGTACCTCATCCCTTGCATATACATGTATATCATGTTTGCCATAAAAGCTGTTCCAGTTGTCAATGAATAGGATTGCAAGTTCCTTGTAGTATCTCTCTAGCCAGCAATTTACATCAATTGCCCACTCCCCTTCTAGGTAAGATGCTACATATAAGTGGGACCCCTCCCTTAGACCTAATTAAATCTATAGCTGACCTGTACTTATCTAGCAGCTCTTCTCTCCTACCCTTCCTGATATCATTTCCACCAGCACTGAGACAGATTATAGGCTTGTTCCCATTACCTGACATGATATTTTCCAACCTGTTGGCTATGTCACTACCTCCAGGAAAACACTGTCTCACCTTCTTATCCCTATTACAGAAAACATGGTCCATATATCTTATCTATGAGTCACCAACTACAAGAATGCACTTACTTTTATTAGCATGGGAGGTAGTACCTTTACCTTCACTGACCACTGATGTACACTCATCCTGAAGAAGAGAGAAGCAATTTCCTACCTTCAAATCTTCCCTCTTAACCTTCCTTATTTTGATGCTCCTCCTATTACTGAGAACCACTCACCACTTGTAGCAGGTGATGGACTGCTCCTCACTGCTGGGAGCCTTTGCATCCTCACCACCTTCAACCACCTCACAGCGATGACAGACTGCTCCTCACTGCTGGTAGCCTCATTCCCCTCACCCACTCCAGCCACCTCACACTCACTCCCAAACTCATCGAAGTGAACCTTCAGCCTCCTAATATCCACCTGGAGAAGTAGGGCCTCCTCCTTCAACACTCTAACCTCAGATTTTAAAACACTGCAGAAGTAGCTCAGAACTGTATGACCACTGACAGGTATTATAGTGTAACCAAAATTTACCAAAGACAGTTATTCTCTTGATTTCAGCTCAGTTTCGCATTGCTACTAACCTGGTCTGACCATAATAGGATCATCTTCAAATTTTTCACGCACTTCATCTTTCCATTTTATCAACTCAGTTCGCAATTCCTTCAGGCCGTCACGAATTAACTCTTTCTGACTGTGCTTCTTCTGTAAATTTATGAAAAAGAATGTTAATTAAAATACATTAACAACAAAATGTGTAAATCAGGCAGTTATAGTGTTTGAATGGAACTTTATTATTAGATATTTCAAGCTGAAATTTCACTAGGTGCTCTCTGTTTTATTTAAATTTCCAGAATAGAGAACATTTTCTGTACTCGCCTATTTGTAATTGCAGGGGCTGAGTCTCAGCTCCTGACCCTGCCCCTTGTCAATTGCTAGGTTTACTTCCTCCCAGGCTCTTGAGCACTGTCATACCTCTTTTTAAAACTATCTATAGAGCCTGCCTCCTCTACTTCTTTGTCTACACCATTCCATTTCTAGACAACCCAGAGGCTGAAGAAGTATTGCCTGACATCTCTGTGATTCATTGTGCCTATTTCCTGAATTTTAAACAATGTATCTTTGTCCATCCTATCAAGCCCTCTGATTATTTTGCATGTCATTATAATGTCTTCCCTGGATCTTCTTTTCTTTAATGTGGTCAGATTCATTTCCTTTAATCTTATAGTAGTTCCTCTAACATTATAGCTTATTTTCTTTAATCGGGGACTAGACTCTTTGCATATCTCTGAACTTTCTCTAATTTCTTAAAATGAATTATTAGGTGAGGGTTCCATGCTGATACTGCATATATACCAAGATGGGTCTGATACATGTCATATATTAGGCCATAAATGACTCTGCTGAGTTTCCTGAGAGCATTTCATTTATGAGGGGTTTCATGCTATTTGCTGCAGTTTGTTAACAGGCATTTGATTACATAGGTAACCTTAGTATATGTCAGGATAAGTTATTACAGTGCTGCTTATTAAGGTTTTTCACCTTAAAGGCAAACTCCATGTTTTTTGTGTAATCATGCCCATATTTGTCTGCTCGCTTTCAGTGTAAAATTTAAAAAATTCTCAACATTTCTTATACCTAACTAAAAGATGAAATGTGATATGTAACATCTGTGTGAAATTTTAACTGAACATATCAATTTCAAAAACTGGTAGTACTGTACTTCTTAACACTAACAAAAAAAAAAAAAAAAAAAAAAAAAAATCCATATTTCATGTTTCATACTTTATATTTATGGTTAGCAATACAGTAATTGGTCTATGTCCACTATGGGATGGTGTGCTAGATTTACAGTACTTAAGGCTAGTCAGACTTGCTTAATATAACATATCTATTGAATTAAAGTAATAACAAACAATGTCGATTACCTTGTGTCCATATCCACCTTTCGGATCTTTTTCCCAAAAAAGATTCTGAGCTGCTGCCACTGAAATACTTCTGGATGTAACTGCTTTATTCCATGGATGGTGAGGTAAGAGCTCATGGTCTTTATTATAGGAAATAACACTTCTTTGGCTATAAGGAGTTACACCAACTCTATCAAGCACCTGTATCTTTCTTTGTGAAGTACCAAAATGAATATATCTACAAGAATATTTGCAAGTACTACAAAGATTTTTAGGTTGAAGAACCCTCACACTGGAAGTTCTGGAAAAGCACAGGAAAAAGGGCTGAGCGAGTACAAAGCCACTTTGAGGGCCTCCCAGGAGTTGAACCCCTCGAAAGTGAAACATTCTTGGTTAGTCCTTCATTTCTGGAAAAGATTAACAAGTGTTAGTGTTAAAAAAAATTGAATGAGTAAACAGCAAAGGAAAAAATAATGATACTGCACTGTAATTAGATACAACTCAACCTCATCATAAGAATCAAAGTTTCCTGGTCTATATATCCTATGCCTCCTCTCTTTTCCTCATTCTACCTCTCTTATTCTCTACCTTCTTCCATTCTTTCTTTCAGTGAGCCCAAGCCCTCTCACCTGCACCATATTATTATATTAAAAATCAAGCACTAAACCCATTTTGGCCATGCAGTGCTACACCTGCAACCACATATATGACACCATATACAAGACATTAAACAAAACTATGTAAAATACAAAAAAAAAAAAAAAAAAAAAAAAAAATACACATCCTTTAATTTCTTTAAATACGGTAGCTGAAATACAGTGGAACCTCTACTTGCGAGCACATCCACGTGCAAGTTTTTCCAAATACGAGCAGTCGATTGGTTGATTTTTTGCTTCCGTACACAAGCGAAATTTCCATAAGCGAGCGGGCCTCAAAGGAGGTTTCTTGATGCTGGTGAAGGGCACTTGCTCTTGATCTAGGGAATTGGATCTCATTTGTTTGTTGGACTATCTTATTGAAACTTGGGCAATGTATGATTGAAAGATGCTCCTTAACATACACCAACAATGAAAGAAATCGGACCACCTGTTACATAATGACATTTTATTCATTCTAGAGTATATATCAGGTTTCTATGTTATTTATATTGCTTATTATGTCATATTAGATGAACTATGATAAATAAATAAGCCGTATAGATGATATTAGCAAAATTATTCAAGGAGTATTTTGTCCGGTCTCCTAAGAAACTCTCGTCCGCCGACGATACCAATACATGAATGACATATTTTATTCATTCTAGAGTATATATCAGCTTTCTATGTTATTTATATTGTTTATTATGTCATATTAGATGAATTTTGATAGATAAATAAGCCATAGAGTTGATATTAGAGAAATTATTGAAGTACAGAATTCTGCTGGAAAGGATTAATTGCATTTCAGTTAATTTAAATGAGGAAAATTGACTCTGCAAATCCAGATGCGAGCAAGGTCACGGAACGGATTAAACTCGTGAGTGGAGGCTCCACTGTATATAAGAATTAAGCTTACTTAAAATTACTTACAACTGTTCCCCTACCTGAAACTTACCTACGAGGTATAAAGTCATTAAAACTAAGTGTCTTCACATCTACTAAAAATCACTTGTTTGTAGTAAAAATTTCTTAAAACATATAATACAAATAATTTATCTACCAAAAATACGAGTCTGGTACCTTATGACAGATGTACTGAGATAAGTTTCATTAAATTCCTCCTCCCATCCAATTTAAATTTATACATCTTAACCAGCCTATATCTGTACTGCTACAATATTTAATGGCTGATCATCTTAGGGCCAGGATGGTATCTATAAGTTATATTTTGAGCAGGAAAATTTGTTGATGTAGTAAAACAGCAATAAAACTTTGAATCGTTGGAATACGTGCCATTACTAAAGAATGAATTACAGTACCTGACTCCAAATTTTTACTGCTGGTGTGGTTTGTTTTGCATAGTATAATAAGAATAGATGTACATATACCAATGTAGATTTATGTTTACATATGAAGCTAATTATTGAATAATTTACATAAAACAATAATTATTATGTTTACAAAAGAAAGCATTAAACTCTTATGGACCATTGAGCAATTTTGGTAGCTGCCACAGCTTGCACACACAGAGGTACTGGGGTTCAAGTCCCAGCACAAATAGAAATGTTGCCCATGTTTCCTTACACCTGCTACCCCTGTTCACTTAGTAGTAAGTAGGTACCTGGGCATTAGCCAACTGGTGTGGATTGCATCCTGGGAAAGATTAAAGGATCCACTGGAAATAAGAGAGAGTCTTCAATGACAACATAACTTGTTTTTGGGGTAACTAATAATTCCGAACAAATTCTTTTTCTTCACGGAGGCATTAATAAACCCACTGGGAATTGTACAGCACTTTGAGAATGGGGGATAATCAAATTTGATCACAGGAAAGTAAGGGTAGCTCTAATTCCTTGGATCAAGAACTCTTCACAAGTATCAGAGAGCCTCTTTTGAAAGGTACAGAGCTTAAGATATTTCTCTGTGGAAGTCATCACAATAATGATGCAAGTAACCAGCACAGGATATTGTTCGTTGAGATATTAAATGAAATTAAAATTATGTACAGTATTTCTAAAGATCCAAAAGAGTACAACAGTTATTCATGAACATCAAAATGGTATACAATACCGACAGGTTGTTAGGTAAGACACACATGCAACAGTTAGACAACTTTATTCCGAAACGTTTCGCCTACACAGTAGGCTTCTTCAGTCGAATACAGAAAGTAGGCAGGAACAGTAGAGATGTGAAGACGATGTAATCAGTCCATCACCCTTGTAGTCGTAGAATTTGAGGTAGAATTTGACTGATAACCTCAAATTCTACGACTACAAGGGTGATGGACTAATTACATCGTCTTCACATCTCTACTGTTCCTGCCTACTTTCTGTATTCGACTGAAGAAGCCTACTGTGTAGGCGAAACGTTTCGGAATAAAGTTGTCTAACTGTTGCATGTGTGTCTTACCTAACAACAGTTATTCATCTTAAATGATAGCATATTGCATTTAATCATATTACATTACAGATAAACTCTGATACAATATAAGGCCACTAATTATGCAAATTCATTTTGGGCAAACTAATAATGAGACTTAGCAACAACTTAATTCTAGACCTGGAATAAAATTTAAGTTAGTATGGCGTGAGTAATACATTACAATTATAAGTACAATTAGATAGGTTGGAAATGAAGAATTCATTAATTACAAATAAATTACACTGAAATTAAATCAGTTCAATGACCTACATATTAAGTAGTGGATGACTTGGGGTGTTGAAATTAAAACATGAACATTTACAGACAGACAATGTCTATAACATTTATGGGAGATTTAATAGGTACTTCTTAACCCTTTCAGGGTCTGTGCCATAGATCTACGGCTATATGTTGAGGGTCCAAACTGTAGATCTATGCCAAAATTCTAGCGGCGTCAAATTTAGCGTGAGAAGGCTGGTAGGCCTACATCTGAGAGAACGGGTCTGCATGGTGTGTGTGCGCCATAAACAAAAATTCTAAGCACCTGCATGGCATTGTGGGAACGCGGCCTCAGTTACCGTTGTTCACCATGCCTTGCCAGAGGCAGCTCTCACTCCAAGGTGAACCGGGACTCTCCTCTTCATAACTGATAGTTCTGACTTTGATGGAAGTGGAAATGAAGAAGAATTCTATGGTTCTGATCGAATAGTGACTGAAAGCAATGACCAGGATATCGAAAATAGTGCAGAAAATCCTGACGATCCTCAACCTTCTACCTCTGGTGTGGGCATGTCTCAGTCACGTTCAGTTGTTCCTCGTCGCAAGAAAAAACTAATAAAGTGGACCCTCGACCAACGGCATTAATCCATTCCAGAGAGCTAGCTGTTAGTCGAATTTGCCATTAGTCGAATTAATTTTTCCCATATGAAATAATGGAAATAGAGTTGATCTGTTCCAGACATCCAAAAGTATTAAACAAAATAATTTTTTTTACATGAAATATACATTTCTCTACACAAAAACGAATAAGACATGCAAAATAAACAATAATTAAATGCCACTTACCTTTATTGTGGAGTTGTTGATGAGTGATGAGACAGCAGGAGAGCAGATGATGCAGGTGTTTTGTTGTTTGGAAGGGGAATCCCCTTCCAGGTACTAAGTCCTTTGGTGGGGTTACCTCCCTTCTTGGTTTTTTAATGCCACTAGGACCAACTTGAGAATCACTGGACCCCTGTCACACCAAAAATCTGTCCAGAGAGCTCTGTTTCTCATGTGTCCTTGGGATTTCCCTAAAATGGGACACAAGAGTGTCATTATACATGTTACCAATACAGCTTGCAACTTCTGTGACAGGATAAAATTCATCTATAAATGCTTGCACCTTTGTAAACACTGAACACATTTCCCTAATCATTGACGAAGTCATCTTCCACCGTCTCTCTTCCTCCTGCCCTGAAGAACATTCCTGAGACATGATCTGTTGCTGTTGCACCTGAAGCTCTTGCAGGTCTGCAGTGGTTAGTTCTTCCTTGTCGTTCTGCACCAACTCTTCCACAACCTTGCCACAAACCTCCAACCCCAAGGACTTCTCCAATGATACAACAGCTTCCACTACTGGTATAGGCTCCTCAGGGTTAAACCCAAACCCTTCAAAATCCCTGTCTTGTACACATTGTGGCCACAGTTTCCTCCAAGCAGAGTTCAAAGTCCTGCAAGTCACTCCCTCCCAAGCCTTACCTATAAGGTTTATGCAACTGAGGATATTGAAGTGATCTCTCCAAAACTCTCTTTTGTGTAGAGTTTTTTGAAGTTTGAAATGACCTGCTGGTCCATGGGCTGGAGGAGAAAAGTTGTATTAGGAGGCAAAAACTTCACTTAACAAAACCAAACTCCCCTGCAATTTCCTCTTGCAAGTCACGAGGATGAGCAGGAGCATTGTCCATTATCAGGAGGCACTTGAGTGACAATTTCTTTTCCTGGAGGTATTTTGTCACAGTGGGGTCAAACACACCATAAAACCAGTCAAAGAAAAATTCCCTAGTGCCTTACTGTTTGATCTCCACAGCACACACAATTACCCTTGACAATATTGTTTTTCCTGAACACTCTGGGAGTTTCAGAGTGATACACCAATAAAGGCTTCACCTTGCAATCACCACTACGATTCTTAAATCTCTCAAAACAGCCTTTGCTGGCCTTAAATTCATCAATATCATCACTATTTTGGGGCATTTTCTTAATTAGATCATCATCATGCAACTGCCTTGCCTTTTCACAAATTATAGACTGAGAAACACTATCTCCTTATAATTGTTTTTTGTTTATCCATACCAATGACAGTCTCTTTACCTCTTCAATTATTTGTGGTCTCCGTTTTGAAAACATACTTGCACCTTTCGCAACAACAGCTTCCTTGATTGCCTTTCTGTTTGCCAAGATAGTACTGATGGTTGATGGGGTTTGTTGTATAGCCTTTCCAACTCCGACATACGCACTCCACTTTCAAATTTTTCAATTATCTCTTTCTTCATTTCCATCGTAATTCTCACCCTTTTTAACACAGGCTTGGCAATAGAAGCTTTCTTGGGGCCCATGGTGGCTTATTTAGCAGTTACAAGCACTAAAAACAATGGAATAATCCAAAATATATGGCAGGTACACGTGGAAGTGACCACAACAGCTTGTAAACAATGGCACACTGAGTCTTGGAGTGGCTGGGCCTGCTCAGGCTGCGCTCCTGCCACATGGACACATTCCGGACGAACACCATTAGACGAGTTTTTCGAAGTTGGTAGAGCCATTTATTTTACGCCAGAGAGAGCCCTTAGACGAATTTGCCATTACTCGATGCTGCCGTTGGGTGGGGGTCCACTGTATTTTCGCGTGGCCAGGCTTCAGACTTCAGTAATGCTGATGATAGGGATGTGGACTGTGATTTTATTGTTCTTGATGATCATTTGAGTAGTGATAGTGAGGAATCATATTCACCAGTGAAGCGTCGGTATATAAGCCGCCGCATGCGCTCGGGTAGTGTTCCCTATGCAGTGCCCAGGGGATGGAGTACATCCCGGAGTACATCCTGTGACCCTACACCAGGTATAGACAGTGAAAGTGAGGATGATGTGGCTACACTTGGCATGGGTAGACCACAGGCATCAGTAGGTGGTGGTACTGGTGGTGATAGTGGTAGTGGTGATGGTAGTGCCACGGCCATGCATGACTCACCAGCCCAGGCTGGGACCCACACCGCTGACTCCTCAGCTCAAGGACAAAGCGGAGCGTCAGCCACCACAACTACAACCAGCTTATGATGTCCAGTATCCACCAGCAAACCGCATCTGGGATTGGCAGCAAAATCTCAATTTTTTTCCCAAGCCCCACCAGTTTGATGACTCTCAAAGTGGAATTCTGCCATCTTGTTCCCTTGGAAACACTGCAAATGAACTGGAATTCTTTGAACTATTCTTTGACCAGCCCTTGATGGAAACTATTATCAGGGAAAGTAACAAGTATTTTGAGTACACCACAGCAAATATGATCATATCACCACAGTCAAGACTACACCAGTGGAAAGAGACAATTGTGGCTTAAATGTATTTGCTTTTTGCAACAATAATGCTTATGCCTCATGTCTATAAGCATAATATAAAATCATACTGGCCCACAGATCAGCTAATTTGTACCCCAGCCTTCAGTGAAATCATCCCAGTGAACAGGTTTATCTTACTGTTACGTATGTTGCACTTCTCTGACAAAACCAAGCCTGACAGAAGTGACAGGTTATACAAGATTAGAAATGTTTTTATGTATCTGAAACAAAAGTTCAACATGTACTTTTATCCATTCAAGAATCTTGTAAAAGACGAGTTTTTGATTTTGTGCAAAGGTAGACTGTCATTCAAGCAGTATATACCGAGCAAGAGGAAACGCTTTGGTATAAAACTGTTTGTACTCTGTGACTGTGACAGTGGCCTGGTATTGGATATTATTGTATACACATGAAGTAAAACATTGAAAGATACCAGGATGTTATTGGGTATCTCAGGTGACATAGTGAGAAACATGATGGCACCTTATCTTGTGACATGCAGATAGGCTTTGTTGATTGTGTTCGTAAGGGTTACAAGTGGTACACGAAACTTTTCTTCCATCTCATGGACATTTCAATGCTCAATGCATATAATATGTTCCAAATGAAGACCGGCAACAGACCACCATATGGTGAATTTTGTTTGCCTGTTGTCAGACAACTCATAATGAAGTATGTATCAGGTAACAACACCTGCTATACAAAACCGTCCTCGAACTCCTCAGAAAATATCCAAGCATTTGGGGAGGGAAGGTGATCATTTCATAATACAGCTTCCTGCAACTAAGAAGAAATTTGCTCAGAAGAGATGTGTTGTCTGTGCACAAACAAAACAACGGCAACAAAGACGCAAAGACACTCAGTTTATGTGTGAGGAATGTAAGGTACCTCTGTGCATGGTACCTTGTTTCAAGGACTTCCACAGGCTGCAGCAGTTCTAGAAACATGTCCAGTGACTGTACATATGTAAACATATAATAGAACATTAGTATTATACAACATTTGTACATGTGTACTGTAGTAAACAATAGTGGTAAACAATATTATAATAATAACTTTAGTGCGCTTACTGTGTTCAATACGGTGAGTGTATATATATACGTACATTATATACAGTATTGGTCTCACAGGCCACAAATGTTACTAAAAAAAGAAAAAAATTAGAAAAGAAAAGAAAAAAGTATAAAAAACGTAAAATAAAGATATGCGATTTTGCGGAAGTTGCTGATGTTGCCAACCACCCAGTCATTTTGGGTCAACTTCCTGCCTCTGTATCTCGGTAAGTACTGATCAGAATTTTTTTGTTTTATTACCTTCACAAAAATATTATCCTTAATTCTGTGAGGAAAAATAATTTTTTTTTTTTTCAAAATTTCTTGGACACTGGGGCACCCCTTCAGATTTTGCCTTTGGACCCTGAAAGGATTAACAATATGTATTAGTAAAGACATTGGTAGATGGGAACTTCTCATATTTTCAGGCACTGAATTCCAATTTTTTTACCCTTTTATCGATATGAAGTTTTTTAATAGGTTGAGTCAAACACGTGGAATGTCAAAAAGATATTCATGCCTTGTACTGTATCCATGTGTTCTGTTGCAGCCCTCCAGACAGAATTTAAGCTCTCTGTACTTCTCTGTATCATGCCAAAATATTGATGAGAGTGATTGCCTCTTTACCGAGTATGAATTAGATAATGCATTAACCAAAGGTCGATCAACTGCTCCTGGAGAGGATGGTATAACCTATGATATTCTCAGAACTCTAAGGCATGTGCTTGATAACCCTTTGTTGGCACTGTATAATCTCAGTTACATTGAGGGCGTTCTTCCTACTTCCTGGACCAATAGTCTCATTGTGCCTATCCCTAAGCCCCAACAGCCTGATACATTTAGGCCGATCTCCCCTTTCTAGTTGTCTTTGCAAAACTTTTGAAAGAATGATGCTTAACAGATTGTACTACAGAATCAGACATCAACTTTCCCCCTACCTCTATGGGTTCATGAAAGGTAAAAGTGTGCAGAACTGTATTTCCACCTTTCTCACTGCACACACCTCTACTAGTTTTACCACTTTTCTTGATCTAAAATCTGCATTTGATATTGCAAACAGAACCGTTATACTACATGAACTAGCCAAAATGAATATTGGTGGTAGCTTACTCTGCTGGATAATAGGATACCTGTCAAATAGAGTATCCTCTGTCCTTTACCAAGGCTTCAGAAGTGATTCTAAAGAAATGTCTTTAGGTACACCGCAGGGAGGAGTTCTTAGTCCCATGCTATTTAATAATTCTGATTAATGCTCTCCTAAATGCTCTACCTGCCTCACCAAAAACATATAGCTACAAGCTATGCTGATGATATCATGATCCATACAACAGGCATAAGAAGATGAATACATTCTTAATGAAGTTCAAGCAATTTGTAATCGACTAGGCCTCATAATATCTTCCTCTAAAACAAAGATATTAACAAGCAAACGACATCCCCCCCCCATCTATTTGCAGGGTGAAATCATTAGCTACGTTAAAACTTACAGATATCTTGGTGTAGATGTACCCTTTAACAAATCCACTATACCACAACTAAACAAGAAATGTAAAGCTAGGCTAAATGCTCTCAAAGCTGTTGCTGGCTACAATCCCAACTATGGTGCAATGTGAGAATCGTGAGAATGATGTACATAGCCTATGTTAGATCCTTAATTGATTATGCTGCTCCCATGTTGATATTAGCTAGAGAAAGTTCCCTCCGACCCTTGGAGTTAATGCAAAATGAAGCTCTCAGACTATTCTTGGCTGTCCCAGATCTACAAAGTTCTTAACATGAGGAAGGAGCTTGGTATTTCTAGTATCATGATAGGATTGTTGAAATTAACACTGTACTCGGTATTAGAATGTTGAGAAACGAACCAGACACTGTCACAGTGAATCTTACCAAGTGTCTAGAGGTAAATACACACAGATCTAAATGGATTGTGAAAACGTGCAATTGCATTAAGTTTTATAACCTGCATGAACTGTATCACTGTAGGCAACAAGAGCATTTCACCCCTCCATGGAAGATGTGTTCATTTAATATCACTTTACCTACAAGTCCCTCCCAAGAAGCTCATTGCTAGTAATCCCTTCCTTAAATCTCTTGTTAGAGCAACTGCTCAAGAAGAATTTTTTCGCCTAGCTGGTAGTAATAAGTTATCACAAGTTATATACACTGATGGATCTAAACAGGAGTCTTCTGGCAGGGCTGCATCTGCTCTTGTTGCCACCTCCCTAGTTAAGAACGATAATAAATTTGAGTTAGGCATAAGAATTAACAACTGGGCGTCTACACTGCAAACTGAATTGTTTGCAATCCTAATGGCGCTAAAGCTAACCTATGAGGCCTGGTCACAGACTGGGCCGCGGGGGCGCTGACCCCCGGAACTCTCTCCAGGTAAACTCCAGGTATGACACTGAGCTTGACTCTATCATCATTACTGATTCTATGTCATCATTGAAGGCTCTTGGCTCATATAATGACTCCAACAACATGCTCATTGGGGAAGCCAGGTATAGATACTCAAAAATTAGGGACAAAGGAATTAATGTACAATTGCTATGGATCCCATCACACATTGGATTACTCCTTCATGATAAAGTTGATATGTTAGCCAAGAAGAGTATCCAGAAGGAGAACGTAGAATATTAACTTTGGTATAACTGTGTCTAGCATTAGGAAAATATTAGGGGAGAAGTAAATAATGAAGATGATTGTTATAGGAATGCAGTTAGAAGCCTGAGTGATCTATAACCCACTATGATAACATGAACGTAGATAAGTATGTTTATGGAGCAACTTCAATGTGAACAGACTGACTGATGTTGTAGTGGCCAGGCTTAGGCTTGGTTACAAGTACTTCTGGCAGTTTGGGAGACACACAGATGATGATCAAACTAAATGTAAATTATGTGATCAGGCATATGGTCACTCTCTTGAACACTATGTGCTTAATTGTCCACTTATTGAGGAATACAGAGACAGACAGTATAATAACCTATGTGACATGTCAAGATATCTTATTAATGAAAATAAGATACCAGATATACTAAGCAAATTTCCTAAATTTGCTTGTAACAGATAAGTGAACTATAGATATGTAGATATAAATCCATATATATTCCTGTTAACCCTTTGGGGCCTAGTTCCTAGGCCTTTTGTGTATCCACATGCTCTCGCGCTACCGTCCACAGGATGGATATGGGGTGCACAATAAACTAGCCACTTCGGTGGCAAAATCTAATCTAATCTGTATCATGTTCAAATTAAATAAATAAATAAATAAATAAATACTGACTGTACAGCAATGCAAGCAACCATACGACCTGTTTTTGTAATACTCATTTGTGCTTAATTGTTATCTGTTTACAATAATGTTTTACCAATGAATACTTCATTGCTTAGTTAATCTTAAGTTAATTTTAAGCCTGCCTGTAATGCTATGCATTCAAGTGGCTTTGGCATGCTGCATTTAACTGTATTCTTTTGTACTTCTCTGTATCATGTTCAAATTAACAAATAAATAAAATAAATAAATAAAAATAAATGTCCTGTAGATATAGCATGCACAGTAGGAAGTGTGAATATTGTGTAGGTTAAGTAAATTTAAACTTTTAAGTAAGGGTAGGCTGTTGTCTGGAGCCTGAATGAGAAATAATTCTGAAAGCTTATTTTTGCTAAGTGACAACAGATATAAGGTTAAGAATTAATTCAGATTAGCAACCCAGGATACCCTAGGAAAACAAAGCAGTGTGGATTATTTTCACTGAAGTCTTTATTTAAGCCCTCTTCCAAGATGTGAATTAAACTATTATAATTATTATAATCACAGGGAAGCATTACAACACCTGGGAAACGGGGCAACCTGGTTTGATCCAAAGGGAGGACAGCTCAAATTCCTCGATGAAGCATCCTTCATCAGCATTGAGGTATTCCTATCTATAAAAGAAATATGAATCACAAATCAATATCACATTACTGCTTCACACACTGAGTGTCTATGGTTCGATCCCTGGCAAGGATGGTAATACAGGCATGTTTCTTTACATCTACTGTCCCATTCGCCTAGTAAGTAAATAGGTACCTGGGTGTTAGTCGACTGGTGTGGGTCTCACCTTGGGGTACAAGAGCGAAGGACTCCAGTGGAAATATGACAGTCCCCGATGATGCACTGCCTTTCTTGAGTTATTCTGGGCTGCTAACCCACTAGGGTTAAAAATCCGAAAAAATCTTATCTCTTATGTTATCTTAGGTAACAGGTGTAAGGAGACGTGTCCATATGACCAGCCTCGCCCAGAGTTTACCTTTAAATAAATTTAATTTCAGGTTTGTATACATAATTTTTTTTCACAATGGCACATAAAATACATTAGGATAGCCCAGTAAAGTTCAATAACGTGACTTATATCCACTGATATCATTACTTGTTGAACATAAAGATATATATATATATATATATATATATATATATATATATATATATATATATATATATATATATATATATATATATATATATATATATTATATATATATTAAAAGATGGGGTGGTAGGGGAAGTGGAATATTCAAACGGCTTGAGGAAGAAATCCAAATATTCTTCCTTGAAGCTTTATCCACTTTTTTAATATATATATATATATATTATATATATATTATATATATATATATATATATATATATATATATATATATATATATATATATATAATATATATATATAATATATATATATATGCATTAATAAATTAAAAAAATATACAGTAGGTATTTCAGCGATGTGATACAAATAAGTTTCTCTGTATAACTGTGTAAAGTTACTATATAGGAATGAAAGAACATTGCGTTAAGCCTTTTAGCTCAATTGTAAAAATCTAAACTCGTGTACTGAATTCAAATAAAAACTTATTAAGTTTGGTAGAGGTGAGCAGTGCTCTGGTCACCGTAACAATCACACAACTCACGCAGTAGTATTAACTGTGTGGTGAACTTGGCTTACAAGAGAAGGGCAAAAACTGTAACCATGGCTTAAAACTAACAAAGGCAAAAAACAATCATTTATCAAACTAAATAAAGACTTACGAGCACAATGTGAAGTACCAGTGTTGTTGTTGTTGTTGTTGTTGTTGGAGTTAAGGGTTGACGGGGCACCCTCGCCCTGGGTGGGATGAACCCTGGAAGGCCGGCTTCATAAGAACAATTATACCTGGAGAGGGTTTCGGGGGTCAACGCCCTCGCGGCCCGGTCTGTAACCAGGCCTCATGGTAGATCGGGGCCTGATTAACCAGGTTGTTACTGATGGCCGCACGCAACTCGACGTACGAACCACAGCCCGGCTGGTCAGCTACTAACTTCAGGTGTCTGTACAGTGCCAGCTTGAAGACAGCCAGGGGTCTATTGGTAATTCCCCTTATGTATGCTGGGAGGCAGTTGAACAGTCTAGGGCCCCTGACACTTACTGTGTTGTCTCTTATCGTGCTAGTGGCACTCCCACTTTTTCATTGGGGGGATGTTGCATCGTCTGCTCCCTGATTTCATAGGGAGTGATTTTCATGTGCAGGTTTGATACTAATCCCTATAAGATAAGATAAGATAAGATAAGATTTCGTTCGGATTTTTAACCCCGGAGGGTTATCCACCCAGGATAACCCAAGAAAGTCAGTGCGTCATCGAGGGCTGTCTAACTTATTTCCATTGGGGTCCTTAATCTTGTCCCCCAGGATGCGACCCACACCAGTCGACTAACACCCAGGTACCTATTTGCTGCTAGGTGAACAGGACAACAGGTGTAAGGAAACGTGTCGAAATGTTTCCACCCGCCGGGAATCGAATCCCTGGACCAATTATGTACCTCTGTAATTTTTTGACTACCGCCCACAGGATGGGTATGGGGTGCATAATAAAGATATTAAACTAACTTGTTCTATCTAGGCTGGAATATTGCTGCACACTAACAGCACCTTTCAAGTTAGTTTAATATCTTTATTATGCACCCCATACCCATCCTGTGGGCGGTAGTCAAAAAATTACAGAGGTACATAATTGGTCCAGGGACTGGACTCCAAAGTTTTGATAGCTGAGCAAGTTACAAAGGTAATGAACTAGATCTGGTCATAATCATGACCAAGTTACAAAGGTAATGAGCTCCAGGTAGAGCTGGTCACACTCATGAATAATTGCAAAGGTAATGAATCATAAACACATTAATCATGAGAATTTACAAAGGTAATGAGCTCCAGGTAGAGCTGGTCACAATCATGACAAGTTTCAAAGGTAATGAATGATAAACACGTTATCACATGATTACAATCATAGACAAATTACAGAGTAATGAGCAGTAAACAAACATAGCAGGGAATTCATCCATTGCCCCAACAACAGATGTTGCTAGGTGCCTGTCTCTCCTCGGTAGACAGCCATTGCAAACAGCAGCAAGTTGCCCCGGGATCTGCTGCTTGCACGAGCACCATCGACCCTCCCCAAGAGGTCCAAGAAGCCAGTGACTCCGTTAGCAGCCCGATGGAGAGCTCCCCTAGGGACATGTCAGCGTCCTGGTGGACGCCAAGTTGATTGAAGATCCCAGGCCCTCGTGTGCACGGATGGAAATATAAACACAAATGCAGTATAATGTGATCCTTTATTGACAACGTTTCACCCACACAGTGGGCTTTTTCAAGTCACACACGGATCTACCTGGGGTTGGACGGTACGAGAGTATTTATAGGCCTGTTCAGAATGTTGAGGTCAGGTGGAGAATGCTGCATCTGATGATCTACCGGGTGGGGTTATAGAGTCTTGGGTAGCTTGGCAGGGGTATTGGACAAGTTGTGAGTAGACCTTCTGCATGTACTATGTTCTTATGTGGTAGGATGAAGAAGTTTCTCGGCGAGGGGTTCAGCTATGTTATAGAAGCCATTGTTCTGGTTAAAATTGTTGGTTTAGAGATGAGCGATGATTCCAGGATTCTTTGTATTGAGTGTTGTCTTCTGTGGGCTAAAAGTCTTGATTTCTGTAGTTAATTAAATGGTTGTGTGAAATTGGGCGATGTTGACACGGGCCATTCCTTGTATCGTCAGTCCTGCTGCAAAATGGTGTCGAAATACTGTTTGGGAGGTCTCTTGATGTTTCGCCCACATATAATTTGTTGCAGTCATTACAAGGGATTATGTATACCCCTGCAGAGGATGGAGGTTTTGTCTGTCTACTACTGGTGATGTCCTTGATGGTCGTGGTTGTGGAGGTAGTTTACTTGGAATATGTTTTCGCAAAGATGTTTGGGAAAAATGTTTGGCAATGGAGTTGGTTGGAGGACTATGTATCTCTTCTCAGCAGTGCTTTTCTGGGTGTGTTGAAGATGTTTAATGCCCGCCGTCTGCAGTCTCTGATGAAGTGACGAGGATAGTGGAGTTTAGAAAAACTTGTTCAGTTATAGTGCATTCTTCCTCAAGGGAAATCATTGCTGCAGATTCTGATGCACGTAGGAAGAAGCCTATAATTACACCACGTTTAGTTTTGGTGTCGTGGTGAGAGTAGAAGTGGAGAAGATCGTTTTGGTTGGTGGGTTTTCGATAGACTTTAAAACGAACTTCGTTTTAAAGTCTATCGAAAACCCACCAACCAAAACGATCTTCTCCACTTCTACTCTCACCACGACACCAAAACTAAACGTGGTGTAATTATAGGCTTCTTCCTACGTGCACTCAGAATCTGCAGCAATGAGTTCCTTGAGGAAGAATGCACTATAACTGAACAAGTATTTTCTAAACTCCACTATCCTCGTCACTTCATCAGAGACTGCAGACGGCGGGCATTAAACATCTTCAACACACCCAGAGAAGACACTGCTGAGAAGAGATACATAGTCCTCCCAACCAACTCCATTGCCAAACATGTTTCCAACATCTTTGCGAAAACATCATTCCAAGTATCTACCTCCACAACCACGACCATCAAGGACATCACCAGTAGTAGACAGACAAGCCTCCATCCTCTGCAGGGGTATACATAATCCCTTGTAATGACTGCAACAAATTATATGTGGGCGAAACATCAAGAGACCTCCAAACACGTATTTCAGAACACCAATATGCAAGCAGGACTGACGATACAAGGAATGCATGTGTACAACATCGCAATTCACACAACCATTTAATTAACTACAGAAACTCAAGACTTATAGCCACAGAAGACAACACTCAATACAGAAGAATCCTGGAATCATCGCTCATCTCTACAACCAACAATTTTAAACCAAACAATGGCTTCTATAACATAGCTGAACCACTCGCCAAGAAACTTCTTCATCGCTATCCCACATAAGAACATAGTACACTGCAGAAGGTCTACTCACAACTTGTCCAATACCCCTGCCAAGTTACCCAAGACTCTATAACCCCACCCGGTAGATCATCAGATGCAGCATTCTCCACCTGACCTCAACATTCTGAACAGGCCTATAAATACTCTCGTACCTTCCAACCCCAGGTAGATCCGTGTGTGACTTGAAAAAGCCCACTGTGTGGGTGAAACGTTGTCAATAAAGGATCACATTATACTGCATTTGTGTTTATATTTCCATTGTGTCGGTATTTTATACCATTTATTTCCAGTGTGCACGGATGTTGAAGTTTGAGGAACTGAGTACACACTGCCTGTGGCACACCTGACAGCTGCCTCGCGGTCGAACTCCACGATGCTGTCCCTGTAGTGGAAGTTCCTGTGAGCCCGGCACTCCCTGCAGTGCCATCGCTGACATCGTGGGTTAGGGGAGAAGTACCCTCTACAGATTGGGTGGCGCTGGGAGTTGGGTGGGTGAGGCGGGGGAGACGGGCAGGGGTGAGGCGTTATGAGAGGGTCACTGTTTACTACACACGCCCTCCCCCTCCCCCCCAGCGGAGAGGGGGGGAGGCGCTGACTGGTCCTGACTCGACAACACCAAATCCTCTGAAACTGCACAACACTTCAACTATTTATGCTGAAACGATGCACTGGGATGTCCGTTCGCTGCTCTGGTATCTTCTCAAAGCATTCACACTGAGTTCTGTTAAGTAGGGACCTGGTCAGCCTCTTTGACCAGGAGCTATCCTTGAAAATCCCGCAGCTAGCCCGCTACACAACCTGCCGTGTCGGCCATGTTGAGCCCTGTCTGGATAGAACAAGCGACCTGAATAGTGTCATCGTGGGCTTTGCATCCCTAGTTTTGAAGGTTCTCATTATCCATCCTGTCATTTTTCTAGCAGATGCGACTCATCTTTGAAGGTGAGATCCTCTGACATGATCACTCCCAGGTCTTTTACATCAGTTTTTCGCTCTATTGTGTGATTGAAATTTGTTTTATACTCCGATATAGTTTTAATTTCCTCATGTTTTCCATATCGGAGTAATTGAAATTCTCATCATTGAACTTTATATTGTTTTCCGCTCCCTGATGCCCTGTCTCGACCTCTCCCCCCGCACATCCGCGCAGGCGCAGAGGGAACCCGGTTGGTTCTATTCCATTTTCAAATACATTTTTTGGCCCAAATCAACACATTAAACACCTATTAGGCACTATAGCTTCGGAAAATTAAAATATTTTCCACAAGGAGATATAAAAAAGACCTGGAAAACACTCTCTCAGCTTCTGGGCATTCACAAACTGAAAAAAACTAGGGATATTGTCCTAACTAAACTGAATGAAACACAACTACAGCCTATTGATACAGTTAACAAGATAAATGACTTCTTCTCAACCAAAGGATCAAATCTCGCCAGTAGAATCCCAGGTACCAACGCCCGAGCAAGGAATTGCTTAAATGGGCATTTCCCAACCTCCTTCTATTTTGCACCTACTGAGCCCACGGAAATCAACTCGATTACCAAGTCACTTAAAATAAATCAACGAATCTGTCTCAAGTCCCACCATTATTGTACAAGCGAGCGGCTCAAGTCCTTTCACCTGTTATTTCATTACTCTTTAACAATTCACTAGAAACAAGCACTTTCTCGACACTACTCAAGACAGCAAGGGTCACACCAATACACAAAGGTGGAGACCCTACAGATGTAAACAACTACAGACCTTCTTATGGTGTAGAAATATACCTAGTTGGACGAATTTTATTGACGCTAGCTGGCCCAGTGGCTAACGCGACGGTCTGGAGTGTTGAGACTCTCTGAACGCGGGTTCAAA